GATGTCTCAAGCGAGGGCGCCAGTTTGGGATTCGTCACCGGATCCAGCGGATCCAGCGGATCCACCGGATCTGTCCGGAAACGGTGCCGGAGGCCGCTCTGGGCTCCTCTGGGCACCTCCCCCGGGGCCGGTTTTGTGAGGATGTCTCAAGCGAGGGCGCCGGTTTGGGATTCGTCACCGGATCCAGCCCACCGGATCTGTCCGGAAACGATGCCGGAGGCCGCTCTGGACTCGTGCTCTTCGCGCCGGGGGTGAGGATGACGTGAGTTCCACAGAAACTCCCTCAAATTACCCCATTGGCATTGCATTGGCAGTGGCGTGGGATTGCCATGGCATTGGTTTGGCATTGCGTTGACACTGCGTTGGTATTGCGCTGGCGCGTCCTAATCGGAAGTTCCACAGGAAAATTCATATTCATCCACCCTAAAAAGACGGATGTTTAATGACCCCCCACACACACACACAAGACGGATTCACATTTAAATCCCCCACGGAAGGATTGCATTCGAAGCCCTTCACGTAAAGGTTCTGATTGAAATCCTCAGAACACGGGTTCGCAATGCCATCATCCCAGAAGGATTCTCATTGAAATACACCAAGAGAGGACGCCCCCAATTAGCAATGGCTAAACATTGTGCTGGCAGTGCGTTGGAAGTGCGCTGGCATCGCGAAGGCATTGCGCTGGCGAATCCGAACGTCTCCCTTCCAGAAGGGTTCCTATTGCAACCCTCAGCAGAAGAATTCTCATTGCAATGAACAACAAAAGATTGCCCCCCCCATCGGCTTTGCATTGGCATCGGATACGGGTAGCCTTGGCATTAATTTCGCATTACACTAGCAAGTTCGAATGCATCCATTACGCAACAGAAAAATCCATTGCAACCCTCCACAACAAGGGTTCATATTGAAACCGACCACAAAGGATTGACCCCACTGGCATTGGATTGAGGTCGCCTTGGCAATGGTTTGGCATTGCGCTGGCACTGCTTTAGCATTGCGCTGGCGAGTCCTAATGCCCCCCTCCGCAGAAGGATTTCGATTGAAACCCTCCGCAGAGAGGGTTCCTTGTGAAATCTACCGTAAAGGATTGCCCCCAACGACATTGCATTGGCATCGGATTTGAGATCGCAGAGGCATTGCGCTGGCGTTGCGTTGGCACTGCTTTTGCATTGCGCTGGCGAGTTCCAACGCCTCCCTTTCTCAGAAGGATTCCTGTTGCAACCCCCAGGAGGATTCTTATCGGAATCTACCACAAAGGCTTACCCCCATTGGCATTGTTTTGGAATTTGATTGGGGTCGCCTTTGCACTGGTTTGGCATTGCGCTGGCACTGCTTTAGCATTGCGCTGGCGAGTCCGAATGCCTCCCTTCGCAGAAGGATTTCGATTGAAACCCTCCGCAACAATAAGGATTCCTTTTTGAAATCTACCACAAAGGATTGCCCCCAACGACATTGCACTGGCATCGGATTTGAGATCGCAGTGGCATTGCGCTGGCATTGCGCTGGCATTGCATTGGCACTGCTTTGGCATTGCGCTGGCGAGTTCCAGTGCCTCCCTTTGCAGAAGAATTCCGATTGTAAACCCCAGAAAAGGCATCTTATTGAAATGTATCATAAACTATTGCCCCCATTGGCTCTGCATTGGCATTGGATTGGGGTCGCCTTGGCAATGGTTTGGCATTGCGCTGGCACTGCTTTAGCATTGCACTGGCGAGTCCTAATGCCTCCCTTCGCAGAAGGATTTCGATTGAAACCCTCCGCGAAAAAGGATTCCATTTTTGAACTCTACAACAAAGGATTGCCCCCAACGACATTGCATTGGCATCGGATTTGAGATCGCAGTGGCATTGCGCTGGCATTGCATTGGCACTGCTTTGGCATTGCGCTGGCGAGTTCCAATGCCTCCCTTCGCAGAAGAATTCCTCTTGCAACCCCGAGAAGGAGTCTTATTGAAATCTACCACAAAGGATTACCCCCATTGGCATTGCATCGGTATTGGATTCGGGGTCGCCTTGGCATTGGTTTGGCATTTCGTTGGCACTGCTGTAGCATTGCGCTGGCATTGCGCTGGCGAGCCCTCATGGCTCTCTCCGCAGGAGGACTCCTACTGCAATCCTCCACAAGAATTGTTCCTATTGAACCCCCCACAAGAATTCCTAGTGAAATCATCCAAAGGAAAATTCCTGTCGAAACCCTCCACAGAAGCATTCCTATCGAAATCCTCCGAGGAAGGATTCGTAATGACATCATCCACAGAAGGTTTCCTTTTCAAATCCACCGAAAGAAAAGAACCCCCAAATAACATTGCATTGGTTTTGGTTGGCAATGGATTGGTGTCGCATCGGCATTTTTGTTTGAAGAGGCTGGCAGAAGAACGGTACAGCTTAAGGAAGGAGTGCATACACTCATATATCTATATATATAGAGAGATAAGATAAGAACAATGATGAAGAGAAGGCTGCAAGCTCGTAAAAAACCCTCTGGAACAACGAGGGACTCCGCAATCCCCCGGCCTCCTCCTCCTCCTCCTCCTCCTCCTTCTCCTACTCCGTCCTCCCTCGGTCCTCCTCCCCTCCCTTCTGTCCAAGTCCTGCCCCCCTCCCTCCTCACACCACCCTCCTCTCTCCATCCCTCCTGCCCCCCTCCCTCCTCATCCGTCCACCCTCGTCCCTCCTTTGCCGCCGCCTCCTCCTCCCCGTGTCTCAGGACTGGGGCTGCACTTTTTGGCCCAGGGTAACGCGCATACCTGACCCAAGCTGACGGCAATAACACATGCTGAGGCAAAACGAAGACGACCAAAGAGGACGCGAGCACGGACCGGTCACGGCAAACAGAAAATAAGAAAGCGACGAACGATACAGAACTAGTGATATCGATTTGCCGTGGATAGAGCACCTGAACGCGAAACTGTTTCGTAAAATTTGGATCCTGGCATTAAAGGAATGGATCGCGATCCAGCGATGCAGGCGACCGATACCTAAGAGAGAACAAAAGGCACTGGTGATCCGCGTGAAATCGTTGTCATTCGCTGTGGCCACCGCCGCTCGGGCTCACCTGACCACTCGCGATCGTGGACTGGCGGAACCACGACGAAATGAAATGGTACAGCCGAGAACATTTAGGAGGCCGCTACTGTCGGCGGTGGACAAACCTCCCTTTAGTAGACCTCCCCTTAGTGAAATCGGCCTGGGACCGAAACCGACGGACCTGGACCCGCAAAAATGACGGCCGCGACGCCCTCTCGCGAGCCGAAAACGGCCAATTCCTTAATCGACGTGTCAGGGTAGGAGGTCTGTCCACCCCCGATACTGGGAGGTCTTCGTCGGACGGACTAACGAAGATTCAGCCCCAGTTGGGGGCTACCACGCCAGACTAGACCGCGGACTAAGCGGGATTAAGCAGGCTTAAACGGGATCCAGCCAGATGAAGCGGGATTTCGGAACAGGGCAAAGTCAGAATTCGACCTCCCAGGAGTTGCATCCGCAGAACATGATCAAGATCCGTGGCCACTTGGGGCCTTCTTGGAGGAGCGTTTTTTTAATCACGGCCATAGCGGGCATCATGGGGGGGGCGGGGGGAGGGCATAACGTAACGCCCCCCCCACGCCGTGTGGCTCCCGCACCACAGCGCCTGTGCGCATCACAGCAAGCACCACAATGCGCAGCAGAGTATGCACCGCCGCAGCCGCGTGCACCACAACGATGACGACGACGACAACGACGATGACGACGACCAGGACGAAGACGAAGACGAAGACGACGACGATGAGGAAGAGGACGAGGACAAGGACGACGAGGACAACGACGACGTGTACGAGTACAAGTACGAGTACGAGTACGATGACGAAACCGACGACGACGACGACGACGACCACCTCTGAAGGTCTTGGGAGGTCTCCAGAGGCCTGAACAGGTCTCCAGACACCTCTGGAGGCGCCTGGAGGCCGTCGCCGACGACGACGACGAGGACGGGGAGGACGAGCATGAGAAGGACGACGACGACAACGACGAAGACGACGACGAGGACGACGACGAGGACGAGGACGAAGACGAGGACGAGGACGAGGACCACGACGACGACGACGACGACGACGAGGACGACGACGACGACATCAACGACGACGACGACGATAGTCGCATCTAAAGGTCTCTGGAGGTCTCCAGAGGCCCAAGGAGGTCTCCGGAGACCTCTGGAGGAGTCTGGAGACCCTTCGATGCCCTCGGCGACGACGACAATGAACACGAGGACGACGACGCGACGAGGACGAGGCGGAGGAGGACGACGACAGGAACGAGGACGAGGACGGGGACGGGGATGACGACGACTAAAACGACGACGACGACGACAACGACAACGAAAACGACGAAGACGACGACGACGACGACAACGGCGGCGACGATGCCGACCGCAACAACGACGACGAAAACAACATCGACCACGACGACGATGACGACGACGACGACAGTGACGGCCGCCTGTGAAGGTCTCTGGAGGTGTCCCGAGGCCTCAGGAGATCTCCCGAGGCCTTTATAAGAGTCAGCAAGCCCTGCGAGGCCCTCGGACACCACGACGAAGGCTCAAGCAGCCTGCAAGCACCACAGTAGCCTCTGAGCATCACAATGGCAATGCCTGAGACGCACTACGCGGGTGGGGGTGAGCGCTGCGGGAAGGGGGGGAGGGAGGGGCATGACGCGCGTGATGGCCCGGAGGGTTTGAAAACACGTTCGAGCGGTCTTGGGGCCTCTTGGGAAATGTCGAAAACATGCCGAGCGACCTTGCGCTACCCTGGGACATTCGGAAACCGGTCTGGGCTCCGCTGATTCCGTCTTGGGCAATTTTCGGAACTCTGACTGGTCGTGACCCCACACCCCCCCTCCTGATCCAGGGGGAGGGAGCAGGGGACCAGCTTTACGGGAGGTCTCTTGGTCGGATGCTCGACTGTAATGTTTCCCATCCACGTCAGGGCAAAGGGGGAACGCGGACATGGCAGCGAAGCACGCCTCCTTTTTGACGTTGGCGAGCAGGAAACCCTGGGTCTTGCCTCGGGAGGTGAGCTTCTCTTCCACACTGTCGATCACCTGCCCCCATCTGCCCCCAGTGGAGCGGAATAGAGGAAAGAAACATTGCACACGCAACCAACTTTTCGGAGGTCCGCGCAGATGTCTTGGACCTGCGCTGAACCCCCCTCCCTTGCGCGAGGAGTGCGCCAAGGGCGGCTCCAGAGGCGGAGACAAGAGGGTTCCACGCAAATCCAAGAAATCCGCGCGGACCGTCACAAGAAAAGTGTCTTTCTTTCGGCGGCGAACGAGGGGTAAAATGGCAAGGAGAAAATCCTCTCATAAGGAGGCGGGGTTTCTCAGAACCCGTCGCGCTTTCTGAGAGGCGTCTTCGGGGAAGGCTTAGAAAACTTGTCAGAAGGCTTGAGGATTCCCGAACCTTCTGAGAACACATCATCCTTCTCACTTCCCCCCTCGCTCGCTTCTTCGATTCTTGAACAAACCACCTGAAAACAAGCAATTGGACAGGAGAGAACAAGCGCAGACGCTGCAACCGATGCTAGCCATGCCATAAGGCAGATGGCCGCTCCACTTTCCCTCATCGCTTTCATGTATTCAAATGAATATCCACATGGCGGGGGAATCGCCATTGTCTCCCACAAATTTTCGAAGCTGCACACCCCTCTCGCATTCATCCTTCTGCTCTTCCCCCTTTTTTATCCTCCCCATCCACGGCCCCGTTCTCGTTTTCATGTTCAGCCATCATCCGCCTCTCGCCTCTTCCTCCTCACTCCCATCGCCAACCGACGAAACTGCCAGAGGAATCACGAAAAGCTTGAGATGCAAGAGGCGGAGAAGGCAGATGGTGAGGACTGGGAGGATGATCGGGAGGGCTGGACACTTCAAGGTGCGAGGACGAGCGGCAAAAGGAATGGAAACAGAAGGAGAATCGGGGGCACGTACAAGTCAAGTCATAGGCGCGCGGGGCACACGTCCACGGTGAATGTCAGATCGGCGCCAGCCCCGTTCGTTTGCAACATCCACTGACAGCTCCATGATACGAAACGACGAATGGTTGACATCTGGACGGAACAGCTGCGAGTGACAGATCACGGCGAGACTGGCCAGCCAACAAGTGACAGGCTCGGTTCACCAGCGAGGACACAGGACCCCATGTCGCAAAGTGGGCGAATCTCATCGCAAACGCACTGCGTCACGGTCTGCGCAAAAACAAAGTTTAGGCACAAGGCGAAAAAACAGTATATAAACTCCATACAAAGTCAATCGGAATTTTTCCGAAACAGAAATTCTGGGGCGTTGGTAGAACTAGGTTTAATGGACCCTGGTTTAAGGATCTGTACTGGAGGCGCCCCCCCGTCCCATTTCCACTAGCCGGAACTGCCGTCACCCGACAAAACACCAGTTGTGGCAAACCTGGTTTAGTGATTCTGGCCAATTCGAAGGCTCCGGGGCCCTACCACTAACCGGGTCCCCTTACCCAGGGGTCCTGGCCATACCCGAAAGTCTCGCGCGGGAGAGCCCCGAGAAGTTTATATCAATGAAAAATGTGTTTATAGAAACGCCAGAAAAATTTTATATTGGACCAGTTGCCGTCCCGATCTAAACTTTTCCTCCGGCGGGGCCAGGAGGGGGCGACGGAGGCGGGCGCGGGGGCCCTCGGCTGGGCCAGCGGCGCTGCCGCACGAGGGACAACGCCGCCGTCGCCTCAACTGCGAGCCGCGGCCGTGGCACGCGCCGCCCTGGGAATGCCGGCGCGGGCGCGGCCGCGTCGAGCGGGCCCAGGACGTCGCCGCGCGCGCGGGGCCCCCCTGCGGCAGCTGGCAAAAATCTCGCCGACAGGGCGCCTACACTTACGCTCATTCGCCGTGAATGCAAAACGCTGACATCTAAAATCCATAGTTGTGGGGGCTGGGGTCGGTTTCCCACTGTTCATTCTGAAGGCCTGCGTGGCTGTAGGATTTTCCCGATGGGGACGTGTTCAGCCAGCGTGCCCACCAAACGACAACTCACCGGTGCATCGTTCGCTTCATGTTGCAACATGATGCAACGTCTCCTCGCGGCGACATTTTTTATATTCAGAACTACCTGACAGATCAAAATTATGTTGCGTCTGGTGATTGCACCTTGCCGAGCATCCGCAACGATTGTGGTGGCAAACAAACATGTCAAACGAACATAAGTATGGCCCAGGCATCTGGCGTTTTGATTTGTTCGATGCAAGAACCCTTGGACCGATCGACTCGCTTCCCCAAGGCTGGTTTACACCGCGATGTTGTTCGGCTCAAGGGGCCGATACGGACCTTCAGACCCCAAGAACCGCCAAATATCAGCCGGTTCGATTCCAACGGGGCGCTGGGTATCGATGTACGTGATGTCCCATCACCGTTGGGAAGCCCGCACAAACAGCGAGCCTCATTGCTGCCACACATACTGCTCCCAATGTTTCGAACTGCGTCACGGCTATCAACCTATCCCTCCGCGACACTGGCCTCGTGGCGAAAATCAAATCCCACCAGCCCTCTGGGCGCAGGTGGTCTAGAGCGTTTCCTTTTCTAGCCTCCTTCCTTCCCTGCTCGGGAAGTTTACCTCCCCCCCTCTCTGGGTCTGGACGGGCTCCCCCGCGAGGGGTTAGAGTGTCCAAGATGGCCCTAGATAGCTTCAAGAGGGCTTTCCCAAGATGGTCTCAAAAATCGCCCAAGATACCTCAAGACGGCTCAAGATAGCCTCCAACACGCATCCAAGAGGCCTCAAGACAGCCCCAAGATGGTTTCAAGTGCCCTCCGAGCCCTCCAAGGATGCCCCCAAGAGGCCAAAATGTGTTCAAAACCTAGGGCAAATCAATGTGTTGTGCTGTTTCGTTTTTTCGTTTCCGATGCGCTCTTGAGGCGTCACGATGGCCCCAATATGGCCCAACATAGCCCCAAGAGAGGCCCGAGAGGGCCCCAAGACGGCCCCAAGAGCCCCCCAGAGCGCCACAAGAGCGGTCCAAGAGGGCCCAAAGACGCCTGTCTAAGTTTACTACCCCCCTCTTTTTAAGCGAAGGGGTCCAAGACGGCCCCAAGAGGCCTCCCAGATCCCCAAAAAGAGCTCCAAGAGGGCCCCAAAGACCCTGCAATGACTCTGTAAAGATCCAGCAGCGACCCTGCAAACACCCTGCAATACCCAACCTCCTTCCCCCCCCTGCTGGGGAGATTGACCTCCACCCCCCCTCTGGGCGTGACTCATAGCAGCGTCCAAGATAGTTTAGTCCAAGACGGCTCCAAGAGGGCCCTAGAAAGCCAAAGATGGACTCCTCCTCTTTTTCTGTTCTAACTCCTCCTCTTCCTCCTCCTCCTCATCTTTCTCCTCCTACCCCCAAGATGGTCCCAGCAGCAGCACCACCACCAGCAGGAGCACCACAAGCAGCAGCAGCAGCAGCAGCAGCACCAGCAACAGCAACAACAACATCAACAGCAGCAGCACCACCAGCAGCATCAGCAGCAGCAGCACCAGGAGCAGCACCAGCACCTGATAAATTCCGAAACGCACGCGAGTTGAAGATACCAGTCAGTGCAAGGGCTAAGATCAAGGATGTCCATTGAGATTCGCCTCTAATCTGCACAACAGTGGCGTCGGATCGCAGATACAGCAACCCGTGCCAGAGACGCTTACCACAGGGAATACCAAGATGCATCGTGCAATGAGTTCTGTCTTACACTTCACTGCGCGAAGCTTTCCGTATTTGAGGTCCTTGTTTTCTGACCCAGGTTACTGCCCACCCAATGTTGTGACGCTTCCAGAACGGCTGTGCGACCGCGTGCTTCCAAACGTCCCTGATTAACCGACTCACCTGGTACTCGTTTCTAGATGGCTTGATGGCGATACGCAAAACGTCAAGATGTTAGCGAAGTCAAGCGCCCTTGGTCAGGTTGACAACGATATGGCATGTAAACACCGCGGCTGGTGCCCTCATATACCAAGGCTCTGTTGAAGGTGTTGTATACCGCCCATTTTCCCTTGCAACTCCATGTCGAAAGCCGATCGCGCAATTGTATCAAATTTGGATTTGCACCCTAACAAATGCCGCTCCACATGACCATTTTGCATGATACGGAAAACACGTTATTGCACCCCAAACACTGCACAGACTCCTGGCACGTAACCTCCATTTGGGGAACAAACTACAATTCGAACTCTTGTCTTTGCAAATTGTGCAACGACCATGCACCCAGATTCCCTCCGCAGCCGCGTGGACTTACAGCGTGACCAGCCGCAAGTCAGCACCTTTATTCCATTCCCTCGCTCGCCAGTCCACTGGATCCAAAAATCCAGCCTCAGTCGCAAAACGAATCGGGAATAGCTGGCCGAACAAAGCGCATATACTTCGAACAACAGCCATGCAATCCAAGTTTGTGATCGCAGCGGTCGCATGTGCAAGTCCTGCAACACACACCACGAACTCGACCTGGGGCGAGCCCCGTCACAATCAAAAAGGGTATCCCGACGCATTTCCGTAGGCATGGGCATGTCAATCAAGCTTTACGTCGCTGGCGGAATATAGCACTCGCGTGCCGGCTGGAGGCCCAAGGCTCTGATATAACTAGTGGGAGGGGGGCGCTGGCAGCTTGAACTATTTGCGAGAAGCATTCGCAACAAAAGCCTTTAGATCTGCGCGCCGCTGTTGCTCGCTGTTAAATATCGAAATCAAATAACCAATGCAAGTCTACAGCACGAACCAGGATACCATCGACAAATTGTCTGTGGGTGCCGCCGCGGATGGACCAAATGTTCATTCTCCCGTATACGCTCGGCCACACTTCCCCCTTTTCACTCCTGCCCACCCAACTCCATCGCGCTCCCGACGGATCTCCCCGGCATTTCCACAGCGCCGCTCACGCCATGCTATACTTTTTTCCCCCTATATTAAGAATTCGCTGGGCAATTAATGCTGCAGCTGTAATGTAGGGCGCTACAGTGAAGAACTATTACCGACGGGCATGCTGCAACTGCGACGAAGCTGGCGCGCACGACGCCAGGAGTAAGAGATCTGGTCCAGGTAGGAAAAACGGAGTTAGAAAGAAATTCGGTAAGGGAAAAAGAACTAAAAAGGAATGTGTTCCGAGATTTCCAAAGTTGGAAAGAAAGCTATTTCTCCGCGACGCCAGGAGGTCTGGGCCAGGAAGGAAAAAAGAAGTTATAGAGGAATGTGATAAGGAATTCCAAGAGTTGGAAAGAAATTTCGTTCTTTTTGTTTTTGCTTACGACCCCCAGAGGCCTGGGCCAGGAAGGAGAAAAAGTAGGTAAAGAGAATGTGGCGAGGAATTTCCAGCAGTTGAAAGGAATGTGTGGTGTGTCTTGTTCTTCTTTGCGACGCAAGGAGGCCGGGGCCAGGAAGGAAACAATTAGTTAGAGAGGAATGTGATAATACATTTACAGGGTGAGAAAGGACTGTATTTTGTATCTTCCTTTCACGACGCCAGAGGGTCTGGGCCAGGAAGGGAGCAAAGGAGTTTGGAAGGAATTGGATGAAGAATTTCCATAGTTAGAACAGGGATAATGTTTCTTGTTGTTTTGTTGTTTACGGCGCCAAGAAGGAAGTCAAAACCGGGAAAGAAAAAAAGAACTAGAAAAAAACGTGATACGGAATTCCCTGATTTGGAAAAAGGATCTCGCTATTTTACGACGCCAGGAGGTCTGGGCTAGGAAGGAAAAAAAGGAGTTAGAAAGGAATGCGGCAAGGATTCTTCAAAGTTAAAAAGAAGTGTCGTGTTTCTTTGTTTGTTTGTTTCCTGTGTTGTTTATTTGTTGTTTTGTCTATGTGTTTTGTATTGTTTTTCCAGCGTCAGGAGGTGTGGACCAGGAAGGAGACAAGGAATTCGAAAGGAAATAGATACGGAATTTCCGGAGTTAGAATGGAATTTCGTTTCTTTACGACGCCAGGAGGTCCGGGCCAGGAAGGAAAAAAGATATAGATGTATAAAGGAATGTGACAAGGAATGTCCAAAACGTTACAACGTATTTCGTTATGTTGCTTTTTGTTCACGACGACAGGTGGCCTGGGCCAGGAAGGAAACACGGAGTTAGATAGGAATCGTGCAAGGGAACAAAAAAAATCGAAATGAGTTGCGTTTTTGTTTAAAGGCCGGGAGGTCAGGGCCAGCAAGGAAAAAAGGAGACATAAAGGAATGTGACAAGACATTTCCGACAGTAGAAAGGATGTTCGTGCTGTTGTGTTGTTTAGTTTGTGTGTGACGCCAGGATGTCTGGGCCGGGAATGTGAAAAGAGTTAGAAAGGAATGTGGTAATGATGCTCCTGGCATGCAAAGAACTTCGCTCATACATACATGTATATATGTATGCACGTGTATATATATATATATATATATATGTGTATGTATGTTTGTGTATATATATAATTGTATAAATATCGGCGCCAGGAGGTCGGGGCCAGGAAGAAAGAAAGGAGCGATAAAGGAATGTGAAATAATGTCAGAATTAGAAAAGCATTTCGTTGTTCTGTGATTCAGGAAACAAAGTACGAGTTGGGAAAGCATTCGGTTTGGAATTTCCAGAGTTAGAAAGGAATGTCGTTTCTTTGTCTTTTTATATTTAAAAAAATCCGGGAGGCCTGGGCCAGGAAGGTTTGAAAAAAGGAGTTAGAAAGGATGTGGATACTAACTTCCCAGATTTAGAACAGAAGTTCGTTTTTATTGTTTTTTTGCTTCGGCGCCAGGAGGTTTGGGCAAGGAAGGAAAAAAGGGAGTTAGAAGGGGAGTTGATAAGGAATTTCCAGAGTGAGAGCCCGCGGCTCTGGGAGGTGTTTCGGGCGCCGTGGCCTTCCCAAAGCGTTTCGGACCGCTCTGGAACGGACTTACCCTCGTTCCAGCCCCGCCCGACAGAACGGCACAACGACGTTTATTGGCGGCACGCATAAGCGGGTAGGGGGAGGGAGGAGGCTTCTTACAACAGGCTGCTCCCTAGAGGGCGCATGCCCCACATCTATAGGCAAGGTCGGCACCTTCTAAGAAGACGCCTTCTTCTGAGAAGCCTTCCCCCTTCTCCCTACCCCCCTGTGCGGATGGCCCCGACTTACGTGCACCCAATGATTCCAAAAACCGGCCACAACGATGTTTGAACCGAAACGGTGCTTGAAACGGAAAACAAGGCGATAGCCTACGTTTGGAACTAACGGTTAAGACAAAACCGATGCCAAACGACACCGCACACCTAAATGAGGCGATGAAAACAAAAACGAACAACGATACGAAATGAACAGCGAAACAAAAGCCGAGACCAAACTGAACGGCGTTGCGGTCGGTCTTTGGATGGTTCCCGTCGTAACGTCGACGCCGGGCCTTCATGTCGCCTTTCATCCGCCGCCTCCTCTGCAGGACGAGCCCCAGCGAGTGGATCAAGTCCTGCCGCCGCGCGGCAGGCTTCGCGACGGCGGGGAGCAGCGGGGAGAGGTCCAGACAGGCTGGGCCCAGGCTGCCCCTTTGCACGGTCATGGAGGGGCCAGCGAGGCGTATACGAGGCGGACTTGATTGGACAGGACACGCGAGAGGACACGAGACCCTTCCGAGGGCCACGTTGCCACAGGAATGGAGGAAGCATGGGTCGCGAGGCACAGGACACAAGGGTACCCTTGATTGAGCAGCGTCGACCTACAAATCTGGGCCGACTGTATGAGGCAGATGAGGCAAAACAAAACAAATATCCACGCCTGTGATGAGGTACGGGGGGAGGAAGAAAGGGCACAACGGAAACAGGAGGAGCAGGGAGGGAACAAACATATATAATGAGGGAGCAAGGAAGATGAGAGGAGGGAGAGAATCCGAGAACGTCACTAATCAGCCTGCCCCCAAATCGTGTGCATGCACACGTAAGTGTAGCACAGCGAATTGATTCAGGAAAACGGTTGCATACTCTGCATTGCCGTCTCCGAACTGTACCATAATCACATGGTTCGCGTTTTCGTTGCTTCCTAACTAATACAAGCGACGAATCGCCCGACATTTCATTGAGAAAACGAGCGTGCCGCGTTCATTGCCTAGCCTCCGTGCCACGGCGCACCTAGCACTGCAGCAGGTTGTAAGCAGACCGTCAAAGACATGCTGCTCTGTTCGTCGGGATGGGATGGCCGCTGGGGTATCGTAGACGGGCGGCACAGTGTCCAGCCTGCAAGAAGACAGTCTTGTCCGAGTCGGCAGCAATCCATCTGTAACAACGTAACAACCGCCCGCAGGCAAGCGAGCGACCTGCCAATCGATGCTATATCGTCCACGGACTCGAGATAGTCCGTCTGACTGCCGCCGTGCTGTCAGTTCACGCCCCTACAACCCTCCAAAGGCACCGTGGCCGCATCGCCAGTGGAGTCAGCAAGACAAGAACAGTTCCGCAGACCTCGCGTGTGTTAGCGAGGACCTGCTCTTGTCGGCCAGTCTGCCCGCCAAGTGTAGCATCAACCTCTGCAGGGCAGCGGAGCCAGCACTGAGATCTGACACAAGTCGGGCGTGTCCCCCTACAGGAGAATTTTCGACGAAAAATGGAAAATACTCAAAAAATACCCCAAAATGGTCAAAACATATTCAGAAAAATACTGACCGGACTATTTTTTGACTATTTTTGAAAATTTCCCCTGTAGAGGGACAGGCCCGACTTAACACTAGGATGCCCCCGGCCCCGAAGATCCGAGGAAGCCCTGAAGCAACAAGGAGCACGCACCGAACCGGCACCGACGCAGCCCTGAGAGGCCACAACAAAACTCGGAACCGGACAGGTATCACGAGGGAGCCCAGGGGCGCGCACCCATCGCAGACAGCGCACTTGGAGACAGAAGAACAGGCCAGGGTCCCCTAAGCGGAGACGATCCTAAGCGCCAGGCAGCTTCGGAAGGACCCCAAGGCAGGCTGGTGCGCTCTGAGCACGGGAGCCGATGATGAGCGCAGACGAACCAAACACACTGATGAGTGTGCTGCTCGGCACTGCGCACGGCAAGCGAGGCGCAGCGTGGCGAAGCGAGGCGAGGCTCCCAAACGGGAGCCGAGAACGCGTCTCAACGGGCAAAGAAGAGCTAGCAAACGGTCGGCGATGCAGCAACACCAATAGCCATCCGCATCAGAGCTCAGGCGGTTAGCATTCCGAAGGCAGTGAGACGGAGCAGGCAGGCTCGACGGGTCGACATGGGCAGGAGGGCGGAGCACGAGCTGGGCCTCAAACGTGCCCTCGGGCCCCGAAGGCATCCAGACCCAGGTCAGTCAGGCCTTGCAGAATCCCGCAAGATATCCTGCAAGATCCTGCACCCACAAACCCTGGCCAACGCGGAGGGTCCTGCAGGGTCCCGCACCCAAAAACCTGGGTCAGTGCGCCCCTGGCCCTGCAGGACCCTGCAGGATCTGGCGCTCTGACGGACCCCTGTGTGCATTGATTCCCCGTCTCCTGAGCCCCGACGGCAGCGAGGAGAGGGGGAGGAGGAGGAGGAGGAGGAGGAGGAGGAGGAGGAGGAGGAGGAGGAGGAGGAGGAGGAGGAGGAGGAGGAGGAGGAGGAGGAGGAGGGGAGGAGGAGGAGGATGAGGAGGAGGAGGAGGGGGGCGGAGGAGGAGGAGGAGGAGGGGGAGGGGGGAGGGGGAGGAGGAGGAGGAGGCGGAGGAGGAGGCGGAGGAGAGGAGGGAGGAGGAGGAGGAGGAGGAGGAGGAGGGAGAGGAGGTAGCGGAGGAGGAGGAGGAGGCGGAGGAGGAGGAGGAGGAGAGGAGTGAGTGAGGAAGGGGGAGGAGGAGGAGGAGGAGGAGGAGGAGGGGAGGAGGAGGAGGAGGAGGAGGAGGAGGAGGAGGAGGAGGAGGAGGAGGGGGAGGAGGAGGAGGAGGAGGAGGAGGAGAGGAGGAGGAGGAAGGAGGAGGAGGAGGGGAGGATGGAGGAGGCGGGGGAGGAGGAGGAGGAGGAGGGGAGGAGGAGGAGGAGGAGGAGGAGGAGGAGGAGGAGGGGGAGGAGGAGGAGGAGGAGAGGGGAAGGAGGAGGAGGAAGGAGGAGGAGGAGGAGGAGGAGGAGGAGGAGGAGGAGGAGGAGGAGGAGGAGGAGGAGGAGAGGAGGAGGAGGCGGAGGAAGGAGGTGGAGGAGGAGAAGGAGGAGGAGGAGGAGGAGGGGGGGAGGAGGAGGACGAGGAGGAGGGGGAGGAGGAGGAGGAGGAGGAGGAGGAGGGGGAGGATTGAGGAGGAGACGAGGGACGGGGAGGGGAGGGAGGAGGAGGATGTGGATGTGGATGCGCATGCCGAGGAGGAGGAGCCGCGCCTTCCGGCACCCGGGCCGAGGCCGCCGCGCGGGCGGCCTGGGGGAAGCCGGGAGAGAGCGCAGGCGCAGGCCGCACCTGGTGGAGCCCCAGCGGCAGCCCGCGGGGCGCGATCGCCACGTTCGGAGGGGCCCAGGGGCACACAAACAAGTACACTGCTCCTCCTCCTCGTCCTCCTCCTCCTCCTCCTCCTCCTCCTCCTCCTCTCCTCTTCCTCCTCCTCTCCCTTTCCCCCCCCCCCTTGCTCACCCTCCTCTTGCTCCTCCTCTACCTCCTCCTCCTCCTCCTCCTCCTCCTCCTCCTCCGCCTCCCTCCTCCTCCTCCTCCTCCTCCTCCTGCTCCTCCTCACCCTCCTTTTCATCTTCGTCGTCTTCAGGGTCGGCGGCACCGACCGTAAGGCCTTCGCAGTAAGGACACACAAGCCCCAGGATTCCCCATGCTTTCCCATTGTTCTCTGGATGTTCGTCGTCCGCCCCCACTCCGCATAGTTTCCCATACTGCCTAGGGGAATGGAAATATAGGCGACCGCCACTTTGCCCATGCCCCCGCTCACGCCCCGACCCCCACGAGTGCCCCGAGGCCTCCGAGGGAAGCAGACGGACAACCCCGTCGGTCGGAGGAAGCGGGCAGAAGCATGCAGTAGGAAGGCGTGGGAAGTAGATAGGGGCTTGCGCCCGCCCCCCGAGGAGGGAAGGGGAAAAACCGCCCGATCCCTGGAGTAGGAAGGCGCCTACGAAATCTAGAAGAAGACTGGGGTCTGGGAACTCAGAGATGCCAACCTCCAGTGACCAGCGTGTACTGGTAGCGAGCGCGTTTTGTCATTCCGCGGCAGCGGCCGTCCCTGGCGGCCGCCTCCCCCCTCCCGCCCCCCCAGACAACGTCACGATGCGTGCCGACGTCCGAGCTGTCTTTGGCTATTCCTCGGCAGTCCAGGACGGCGCCGGCGCGACACGTGACGCCACCACCTCCCCAATTAAGACGAAGCGAGGACGAGGCCAAAATCGGATGAGGATAAATCGGACGAGATGAGAGATGATGGGATAGAAGACGAGGGCGAAAGAGTGTAGGATCAGCGTGCGCGAGGGACCCGAGGTTGAGCTAACAATCAAGCGCAAGCAGCAGTCCTGCTCGACACCTGCATTCTTCAGCCGTGAATCCAGCGCACTGTATACGGTCCCAGGCGTCTTCTTGCCAGAAACCTCGGACTTGATCCCCGAGAAGTCGCTCAGCAGCACCTACCCACCCTGTTGCTCCATCGAGGTTGTCCACCCTACTGCTGCTGCTACCGCTGCTGCTGCTGCTGCTGCTGCTGCTGCTCTTCACCTTACCCGCCTTCATCTTCTCCCCCCTCCTCCCACCGACGACGACAACAATCACGACGTCGACGACGACGCGTCGTGGTCGTGGTCGTGGTCTTGGTCGTCGTGGCACCGTGCTCCCATGACGGACGCTGAATCAGGAAGGAACGCGCTTCCCTGGCCGCGGCGAGCCTCGGTCAGGAGTAGGTCCCAGAACATAAACCTCAGGAACGGCCGAACAAAAATCAGCCCCTTCTGCGCCTAAAGTGGCCCTTGGTGCAGCGCCTGCACTGCACAAACGAAGCCCGGTAGCAAGCCCACCTACGGAAGAAGCCGAACGGGGCAGGATGGTTTGGCAAACGACCAGGGCCGCGAGGGATCGCTGGTCATCAAGGTCGGGGTGTTTTTTCCTCCCTTGCCCTTACCCGTCGTGCGCTCTGAACTATCGGAGCTCCGCGCGGATTCCTCGGATCTGCGCTGAACCCGATCCGAGGAATCCGCGCACGTGCCGAAGGGAGGAGGAACCCCTCCTGGCGAGGAATCCGGCCCTCCTCCTCCTCCTTCTCCTCCTCCTCCTCCTGAACCCTCCTCCTCCTCCCTCCCTCCTCCTCCTCCTCCTCCTCCTCCTCCTTCCTCCTCCACCTCCTCCTCCTCCTCCTTCTGGCGCCCCCCCTGGCGCGCGGAGCGCGCCAGGGGGGGCGCCGCAGGCGCCGCTAATAGAGGTCCCAGCGCCGATCCGAGAAATCCGCGCGGAGCCAGGCAAGTTTATGTGCATGCCGTTCCTTTCGGCGGCGAGCACAAGGGGGGAGGGGGGGGGAGGAGGGAAGGCTTCTTCGAAGCACCCTGCTCCTCAGAAGGCCCTGGCCTCACATCTACAGAGAAGGCCGGCGCCTTCCAAGCAGCAGGGGTGCCTCTAAGGAGCCTTCCCCCCTGCACCTGTCCCCCGCTGCGCGTGGCCGACCTTGACTCCTCGACTCGAGGCCCCACCCGCCCCTCTTCGGCATCTCCGCCCGCGTGCACCGCCCCGCCCCCCCTCCCGAGGCCTCCCTGGGGCCGCGCCCACGAGAGGCGGAGGAGATCGCTTACTTGCCGGCGATCGCTCAAGTGATCCGGTGTAGACCGGATCACTTGAGCTATCGCCGGCCAGCACCTCCCTCCTTCCCCCCCCCCCGACGGGGGGGGGGAAGGAGGGAGGTGCTGGCCGATGCCCGAAGCTTTGCTCTCTGGGCAGCCCCGCGTCCGCGCGAGCCAGCACTGCGCACCCCCCTCGGGCCCGCGCAGCCGACGAGGTCAGGTTCTCTGGGGTGGGGAGGGGTGGGTGCGGGCCCGAGAAGCCAGTCGATCGAAGGACCGTCAACAAAAACAGTCCCGAGGAGGATCGCGGGGGCAGGAGAGCCCAGCGTCGAATCGATAAAACGGATCGACGATCGAAATGAAGCGGATCGGCGGAAATCGGCAGCCAAATCGGGAAAAATCCGCCGACCCTGTCGGCGTGTGTGAAAAAAATGTCCGTTCGAGTCGGGCTTTTCCGTTGGAGTCGTCGTCTCCGTCCTCCTCTGTTCCATTTGCCTGTGCCCTCTTCCTCATACGAGCCGTCGAAAGCAACATTGAACAACATCGGAATGGAATCGAAGGGAAATCATTTGATCCCTTCCCCGCGCGGGGGGTTGGGTGTCCTGGACGAGTCATGGAAGGGTCACGGGGGTGTCCTGCAGGGATCCTGGGGGGGTCCCGAGGGGGGTCGCCACCCAGATAGAGCCAGTTTTTCTTTAGATGCAGGGAAAGTTTGCTTGCATGGCGTTCGCTCCCCCCCCCTCCCCCTCGCCCCTCTTCAGTCGACCACGAGCAAGTGCCTGTCGACGTGCGTGATTTCCACATGTCTTCGGCTTGCTTCAGGCTCAGGCCCCCCCCCCGTCCATGCCAATGAACTTGCCTGGGCCCAAATTAGGGTGACCTAAAAAAGGGTCCAGCTGCAACGGGGTGGTGCAATAGCTTTGAGGCAATGGTCTTGCAAATGTATTGCGCTAAAGAATTGTATTGCGTTGCATTGCAAGTAATCCATTGCACGCGAACACGCAGCAATACATCCGCGCCCCGAAATGTATTGCACGCCCCTGATGTACCGCAACCCCACACATCTGTTGCACCAAATCTATTGCACCACCCCCTTTTGGGCCAACCCGACCAAAAGGGGGTGGTGCAACCTTGTCGCTGGACCCCCTTTTGGGCCAACCCGACCAGACAAAAACAAACACGTCTTGCCCCCGCGCCCTGGTCCGCTCTGGCCCCGGCCCCGGCCCCCCCTCTGGCCCTGGCCCCGGCCCCGGACATGGCCCAGCCCAGGGGGCCGCAGCCCCGGTCGGGGCCCCGGCGCCCTGGCCCTGGGCGCCCCGGCCTCGGCCCTATAGCTGGCCCCCGCCCCCCCCCCCGACCGTGGCCCCAGCCTCGGCCTCGGCCCCGGCCCCTCAGCCCTGGCCCCAGCCGCGGCCCCAGCCCAGGCCCCAACAGAGCCCAAGAGGCTCCCAAGAGAGCCCCAAGAAAAGCTCCAGAGCGTCAGCGTCGCCGTCGTTACCGCTGCCGCCGCCGCCGCCGCCGCCGTCGCCGTCCTCCTTCAGGGTCGGCGGCACCGGCCGGCCGCTAGGCCTTCCCAATCGAATCGGCAGAAATCAACAGGCGAGTAGGCCACCATTGAGAAATCGGAACCCACATCGGAATCCCAAGTCGAATCGAATCGGAATCGGAGGCCATCGAAATCGAATCGAATCGAATCGGGAGAATCGAAACGAGCTTGGGGGGGCTCCGGCGCAGAGATATCTTCAGCGCAGACGACCGCAGGCTCCGGGGGTGTGATTGCTGGAAGATGGGAGCGGCCAATGCGGGCTGCCCAAAGGGGGGGCCGCAGGGCATCCAAGACGGTTCAGGGGAGGAAGCAAGCCAGGGGGCTGGCACGACAGCACAGCGTGGCCTCAAGAGGCACCATGCAGCTCCCAAGAGGCGCCGAATAGATCCCCCCAGCAGCGTGCACAAGCCCCCCAGACATCCCCAAGGCACGCTCCAGGAGGCCCTAGAGACTGGAAACACTGATTTCCCAGAAGTGTTCAAGTCGGTCCATATGCTGTCCTGGAAGGCCCAAGAGAGAGCACGCAGATCCCCCAAGAGGGCCCCTGGACTGCCCAGAATGAGGTCCCGAAAAAAACCCGGGCTGGCCCAAGAAGCCTCCAGAGGGAACCAAGACAGGCCAAGACGGCACCACGACGGCCGCAAAGCGAGCTCCTAGATGGCCAGGAGGGCTTTGTGGCCCACGAGAGAGCCACAAAACAGCCCCAAGCCCAAGAGGGCCTCAAGCGACTCCCAAGACGGCCCCACTTGAGCGCCACAGTGAGAGCTACACAAGTAATAAAGACGAAGAAATGTCATGAGAGCTCCTCAAGAAGTGGGCACGGGAGGTGTCACATGTGACGACCTTCGGTGCTCGAAGCTTCGCCGCCCAGATTGCCGAACTGGCACGGTGGCGCGACTTGCTGCAAGCACCTTGGTCAAAAGACGAACAAAAGCTACGTGAAGATATATTGAATAGTCCACGTGGAGTTCTAAGGTTGGTGCTGGACCCAAACCCTGGCGGCGCCCCCGCCGCAGGGCCTTAGATAGCGCATTTCGTACGCCAAGGGACGGGGGTCCAGCGCCGACGAGAGATCCGCGCGGACCAACCAGGATCCCTGCCGAATGATGAGAATGA